CGCTCCGTTCGGTAACGGGCGGTCCATATACCGGCCAGCTAACGGACCGATACGTACCGCCCGTACCAGACGATATTATTCGAAATTGCATACATTGTCCTCATCCACAAACAACCATTCACGACTCCCAACGGTGCGACCATTCGCCACCATAAAAAACATAACTAGGACGTTAAAATAATTTTTTTGTTTATCGTTTTTATGCTTCCATCGGTAAAATCAACGATATTAAGATAAATAAAGATATATATTTCACTTTCATAACTTTAGGGATTCTAATGTAAGGGTTTTGAGTTTAGGGACCGGGATGTTAAAGAAATCTAACTACATGGGGTAATCTGTAATTAGTCCAAATTTGGGTTAGACCTAAGAAAACTTTATTGGAAACTATAATAAGGCATTTGTTTGCTCTTTGTTTGACTAGTGATATTGTCTTAAATAAAAAAGATGATAAGGTATCTATGTAACTGATCAAAAAACTGTACCACTCCATACTATGATTGCAGGCAGTGTTCGCTCCACAAAACCCAAAGGATCATTGATCTGGGTAGTGAAAATTGGGTATTTGGATAATGCTTGTAGAATATACAGAGTTTGAGTAAGAAAAGTTCAGAGCTCCCAGTAGACTTTTGAAAAGATTGTAATCAAGAAATAATTTGAAGCTCCCATGTTATCTTTTGGAAAAATAATCGACATCATCTCATCAAGTTATGTGTGTAGGAAGGTATACTCATGCTTGAAATTTGAATTCAATGAATATGGCAAATGACTCATTACAGAATTTCAGTGACTCTTCTTGCTTACTAATTTTGGATTCAAATTTGTTTACTAATGTTTGATGTTGATATTTAATAGTATTTTGTTAATACAGCTTTAGCATTGTAGTTATATTATGTTCTTATTGGATCCAAAAATAAGGAAAGATGACTTGTCTTTAAACTTGGTAGTTTAGTTCATAGTAGGAATATATACTCTCTTCTCTTCAGTAAGATTGGTTATTTCTGCCAAGGAGGAACCTGTTTGTTAGATATGGGTATAATACTGGAGACAGTCTAAAGTTACAAGATTTGCTTTAGGGTACCGAGTATTAAAAACATGGATGCAAAGGGGTTGTTGAAACACAGTTTTCGTATATAATGATTTTCAAGGTTTATCCATTAGCTGCTAGCCGCTGACTTTGTTTCATCGTTCTAATTATGATGTGCTACCAAGTCCAACATTTTCTAATAATGACTCGTTTGAAAATCAGATCATTTAAAAGAATTGCTAGCTTATACTAAATTGTGTACCTAGGACTGGTTTGCAGTAGAATTTTTTGTTTCCCATTAGATTAGTATGTTATCATTTTTTTTCTCTTTCCCAGTTGTGGCAGTGAGGCCGGAAAATTTTGTTGTATCCTGGTTTATGTGTTACTTTGAATCAGCAAGATGATAAATACGCAAAAATGACTTTCTCAAAAGGTTAAAAGATTCTTTCTATCATCATATTGATTGTTTAAGAAATATATGTTCTAGAAAAAGAAATACATGTTCTTCTTTGTCATATCAGGGCAACTTGCCTTTTTTGTTGGTTTAGAATGATGAGAAGTCATACCATTTACTGATTCACAGATATCAATTTATTTTTTATATCAATATTCCAAATGGTTTTAATATTATATCAAATAACAAGTTAAATTAAAGATACATCTTTTGTTCCTCAGAGTTGCTTTTGGAAAGAAAAAGAACAGATGAATGCACTTCACTAAATACTTGAACAGTGATAATCACGAAATGTGCTTGATGTGGTAAACATTGATGAGAGAAATGGTAATTTATTGGAGTAAGTAGTAAATAGCAAGTACTTTCTGTTGAATATGCAGGGTATGTGTTGGCAAGCTATGCATCTGCTGTCAACTGAAGTAAATTATTGTGTCACTTGAGTACCAATTATTTGGATTGCATAAGTAGAGGTTAAATGGAATCGGAGATTGAGTTACTGTGGTGAAGCATGAGCAAATCTATATGGAACTAAATGTGTGAGTATATTATAATGCTGTGAAAACAATATCAAACTGCATGTCAACATTGACG